CCTTTATATAAAAAAAAATATTTACTTTTGTATGGACGATATTTACGTTCATACCAGGACGATCTCCTCTGTCCACATATCGTACGGATGATTATTAATTTTCGTCCCTCGACAATGGGCTCCGTCAAAAAATTTTGTTCGGTTCGTACAGACGAACTCAATTTGTACTAACAGTTCGTACAGACGATTTTTGCACTTGTTCAGTTCGTACATACTAATTGCATACAAAAATCTTGAAATTCAAGGGTTCTCACACTATAGTCGGTAAGCGATATAAGTTAGAAGGATCGTAGTCGGTGGGCGACGGAGGTCAGAAGGACTGTTGTCTAACGACGAAGGTCAAAAGGACGGCGGCAGGTAGAAGTCCAGCAATGAAAAGAAATCCATCATCGGATAGAAGTCTAGGGAAAGTCTAACAACCAATAGAAGTCTGGCGTCAGGTACAAACTTGGCGACGAGCGAAGGTCCGACGTCGAGTAAAATCCTGATGTTAGTTGGTGGCCGAGGAGAACTCCGATGTCGCCTAGAGTTCGGGTGAATCTCCAGCGTCACTTGGAGGCCAGGCGGAATTCCGGCGTCACTTGGAGGCTAGGAGGAATTCCGACGTCGCTTAGAGGTCGGGCAAAATTCTGGCGTCTCTTGGAGGTCGACCAAAATTCTGATGTCACAAGGAGGTCGGGCAGAATTCTGACGTCACTTAGAGGTCGGGCAGAATTCTGGCGTCACTAGGAGGTCGGGCGGAATTCCAGCGTCCCGTGGAAGTCGGGCAGAATTACGGCAGTGGTCGAGGAGGAGTTTCTTCCCTCCTACTCTTCCCTTCTTCTTCTTCTTCTTGCTTGGGACCATCTCAAGAGAAATGAGAAATCTATTTATAGATATTCTGGAGTGGCAAAGCTTGTAAATAGGTGAGAGATCAAGGGCAAAGGTGGAGTGGTTCGGATGGATGACCAATATTGAACCCCTTGATTATATACTGTTCGTCAGACATTTGAAGGTCTTAATGATATTGAATTTAGCGATCTTGAGCTCGTTGGATTTGTCTCGTCGAGCTGCTCGATTCGACTATAAGCACGTTATGTTTAAAAACTCTTTGGTAATTCAAATTGTGGTTCGAACTTTTCAACAGCGCTTCGGGTCCTTGATTTGGACTCATTTGGGCTTGGATTGAGCCAAATTTGGTGTCGTTGGGTTCGTATTTCCATGACGCTCAGTTTGACTATAAGTTTCCTGAAATCAAAATTCAGATGATCCCGAATTTATTTTTTTAATTTCCCGACTTGATTTTCCTTCGAGATTTGTGCTCGATCAAGATAATTTTTTGATTATATATATATATATATATGTGTGTGTGTGTGTGTGTGTGTGTGTGTGTGTGTGTGCGCGCGCGCGCGCGCATGTAAATGCAAATAAAAAGAAAGCCAAAGTAACAAATACATTTTTATGTTACAAGTATGATTATCCACTAAGTTTACTATGTAGAATTAACATATTAAGCTAAACTTTCAGGTAAGTCTCCTGGTAAATCGAAATGACTAAAGGAGGAGAGAAATATGTCTGCAAAAGACGATGCACAAGTGAAAGCAGGTAATATGGTTTATGTAAATGTTATGTATGTGAAAGATTTTATTAGTGAAAATTATGTTAATGGCTCTTAAGTTTTTCTTTGAAATGTATTTGATAAACTTTTTTTTTGGATTTAAAGAAATGTTATAAATGCCCGACTGTTTGTTTTTGCCTTGCTAATTTGAGTCTCCGGACTAGGTCGTGATAAGTTTGTATGATTCTTCCCATGGAGAATGCTAAACTGATTATGTCTTGATCTAGCATAATAAGATGAGTCTTCATGTTGCAATCCTTCTAGGGAGTGTGTCATAACCCAAATCGGTTGCTCACATGATCTAGGATTTCTCCCACACGTGTAAACCAGCCGCCCCAACTCTTCCTACGCCTGAATCATGAAATAGCCGAGCTTGCTTCCTTTACCCTAGCGCACATCTCTCCCTTGTAATTTCTTTCTCTATTTGACATATTCTCCTGCCTATAACATCCCTCTCGCACCATATAAACCTAATAGGGACTTAGGGCATCATATTTCTCCTTCTTCCCTTTTATAGCAGCTAGTGAATCCTCTCTTTTCATTCCTTCTCGCCCCTTTTTCACAACAACAGCCTGCAACAAGTCCTTCCTCCAATAGTCAGTTCAAACCTTCTCTCTTCCCCTCTCCTTCCTTCGTTCTTTTTTTATTACCAAGAAATAGGAGGGATGTTTTCTCTTTTGTAGAGTTTATGCTATTTTATTAGTATTGTGTGAAAACTACTATTATGATAAGTTTATCTTGCTTTGGGAGGAAGTATTGTTTATGTTTGATGCTCAAATTGTTATGTTATCATTTAGGCTTGATTAAGGACATTCATTATATTCCTATATAGATATATTGAAGCTTTGATTTGTAAGCCATATGTTTCAAGCATTGGTGTATTCATCATGATTCATATTTGTAGGACTGTTGAGTCATGGTCCGTCACTTGATTATCGTTTAGGCTTGAAGTTTCATGTCACTCGTCTAAAGGTAAGAAACTATTATTTATTTTGGTGTAAGTGAACCCTTCTTTGTTAGGGGCATAATCCATGATAATTGTATTAGAATTTTTTTGTAAGTATTTAGGTTGCCAGTTCTATTTCCAATAATTGTTAGTATTGTACATGTCATGGATCTTATTTATGGCTCACATTGAAATCATGATGTAGTAGAAATAATATTATCTTGATTTATTGATATATTAGATGTTAGCAATTAAATGGCTAATGCTGTAGAAAGGTTTAATCTATACTCATTAGCTTTATTTAATGCAGGACATAATATTTTTGTTGTAAATTATTTTGGTTATATAAATTATAATTTTACATGTTAATTTATATAACACCAATTGATTTTTTTATTAAAACTCTCGAACTGCATGATTATGTGCATGTTGGTAAGTCTATATTGGTTTTTGGCTAGTCGGGGTCGACGGGCCCCCAGAATGATGACTCTACAGAAAATCATTAGATTTACTTGGGTTGGTATTTACCTTCCCGGTGATGGGTATATGATAAATCGTCAATAACTAGATATGCAAGAAAATATAAGTGAATATGAAGTGGAACTAAGATATGACTTACAGGTCATTGTGAGGTACATGGATACCTATTGTGGTGCATTTATAAATATTGTAATAATTTAGCACCAATAACTAATTGTCATATACGTATGCATATTAAATTATGTTGTAGAAAATATAACATATCTCATGACAGTTTTTGATATAGTAATTATAAGTTAGTACTCTCCTCTTTTGGCTGTTCATACTGTATGTCTCATTCCTTTTCCATTTATGTTTTGATATATATGAGTTACTTAATGAGTTTGATTTATCAAACTCACCCATTATATTTTTCAGCATGCTGTAAGCATGTTTGGCAGATCGCCACCTTAGGAGCAGGGTTATCAGTAATAGACTATTTTTTCTATTTATTATTTTATTGTAGTTTATTATGTTTGTGTTTTTTTAGAGTTGGGTTTTTTTTTCTACTTTTTATTCTATTTATATTATGTTGGCTTATATTAGAACTACTGTTATTTGGATGTATTAGTTATTTGAACTTCTAATTAATGAATTGATTCTTTATTTCAGTTCCTATGTTTACTCTGATGCATATATATATCATATTGTATCTCTTGTATATGTATACTTCTCTTTGTGATAGTCTTATCCAAATTCCTTGAAGGAAATCTGTCAGATAATTATTAATTACCTATATAGGCATGTATGAGTATACAAGGATAATCCTATGATAATCTTGATTTGATTTAACCTATTTGATTGATTTTGACTGTGTTTATGACGGTTTGACCGAGTTTGATCAACTTTGATCGGGACCAAATAGATTGAGAATTTGGACGTTACTGTTGGAAATAACTCATGTTTCGAAAACTCCCTTGACTCTTGCTTGCAAAGGTGTGAGATACTTATGTTGGGGATGGGGAAGTAAACCACAAAACGAAACAAATAAGGAAAAAAAAAAAAAAGAATGCCACATCGGGATTTAATGTGGAAAAACTCAAAATCAGAAAAAAAATCACGTAGCCGCACCTTATCCAGAAATCCATAAAAATAGAAGAAATCTGCACAAATCTCTCCTCTCTCTATCTGTCATTACCTCTCTTCTCTTTTACACCATTTTCACATTAAACAATAGAGAAAAACCTCTATATACCACCAAGGGACAACACCCTTGACAAAAATGAGAAAGAAAACTGTCCAGTCCGCCTCGAATAGCTGTTGTGCCATTTTGGAGCACTGTGACGCTCAACATTCTATCTCCAGTCCGCTTGAAAGCGCTATGGCGCTGAATTTAGAGCGTTGCGGTTATATACTGTCTTTTCTCTTAGTAAACTTCGCAGCACTGTGACGCTCAGGTACACAGCGCCAAGATGTACGAAAAATTTTCGGGTGCAAGGCATCCGAACCTAAGCATGAGGAGGATTCCCTGCACCCCCAGCAAGCACGAGAATTAACTTAAGATCCCAGGCAAAAATACAATCAGATTAATCAACACAATCAAATTCCACACAAACTAACCACTACCTTAGTGTCATTTGTTACTTTTTGGCACATCAATGTCGATCATCTTTCAGTCTTGTTTCTAAACAGAATAGGTTGAGCCCGCCATCCGAATGAATATTTCTATTTCAAAATATTTAGATGTCATGACTCGCCCTCAACATCTGAAATTGAATGAATGAAATAAATAGCTAAGATTATCAATAAAAATTTAAACTGAATTATTCAGTTTTTACATTCCATCTTCAGACTTTTCATGGGAAAATTTTGCTATAAATAAATAAACAATAATTACTACCCTTCCTTTTCCACCATTCATTCTATCTCCAAGAATTTCCGTTGTAAACCTCCATCTCCTTCCCGGTGAGGAAGAGCTCTCCAATGAGATTCGTCAAATCCACAACGCAGGCAAACTCCCATCGTCCCAGATTTCTCTCATTCATATTTTAATTATATTCAGCACTTTGAGAATGCCGAATTCATTGGTTGATCGGGCAACGAGCGATATGCTCATTGGACCCGATTGGGCAATGAACCTGGAGATCTGCGACGTTCTTAATCATGATCCAGGGTACGAAGTTTCTTTTCATTTTTTTTTTGTGCGCACATTGCTTTCTTAATTCATGATTTCTCTTCCCCATTCCATTGCTTCTCGATGCTTAATGCCATAATTCGAGAAAGAAGCCATTCATTTCATTTCTTTTCTGGCTAGGTTTCGATTGCTTAATTACTTCAAATGTTTGACGATTTTGATGATATGATATGAAACGAGACTCCATTTTCTTTATTTTCTTATTTATCTCAGTAGAGTGAGTCATACATCGAATTATTTATTCATTCAAATCGATGCATGATATCACATGGTGGCCCTTTCTTAGCTTTCTCCTGCTTCTGTCCTCTAGGCCCTACCTTCCTCAAACCAGTTCTTTTTTATGTTTTAATTAATAGTTTCACATTGTCAAATTATACTCAGAATTATGGCACCTAAATTACAGCAGACATGAATAGATTCAAATGTTTGCTCAAATCTTTTCTTCTTATTTCAGGCAAATCAGAGATTTTGTGAAAGGTCTTAAAAAGCGTATTAAAAGTAAGAACTCAAAAGTACAGCTACTGGCTCTTACGGTATGCAGAAAAACTGCTTACTTTATACCTCTGAGTCATTCCTAAGCTATGTATTGAATTAGTCGGTATTTTATGGTGTTGCCTTGTTTTAATGAATCATATCAGGTTAAAATGTAGTCTAGCTAACACATAAATTGTTTTACATTTGATGAATTGTAGAACAATTTTTGTAGTTAGGCAAATCTGTTTCTAATAGAGACTAATGGAAACAATATCATTTTACTTCTTAACTGAGATTACCTTTCATCAAGTGAGAATGATATGGATGTAAGCATCTTTAATGGTGTGATGAAAAGGAAAATTTCTGAAAACTATAAGTTTGCTACCCAGTTAGGCTTGTATTTATGTTGTGGCTACTCATGACAATTAATATTTTATGTATGGTTGTCTAGCGCGAATACTTGATGGTTGTTAGGCCTTTATTGTTTGAAGGTAAAAGTTGAAGTTAACTAATACTTGCAAAATTTCCTTTTCTTTCAATTCTATTTTTTATTTACTTCACTTTTTTCATGTGAGCTACAAATGAACTATGAATTATTGATACAATTATGGACCATTTTCTAGTTGCTGGAGACGGTGGTGAAAAGTTGTAGCGATATGGTCCACATGCAAATAGTAGACAAAGATATACCACATGAAATGGTGAAGATTGCTAAAAAAAAGGTTGGGTCTTTCTCATACGAACCATTATTAATTTTAATTTTCTTGAAACACTCAAGGGAATTTTGGGTATGTTGTAGCCTGATTTTCATGTCAAGGAGAAAATATTGGTACTAATAGACACTTGGCAAGAAGCATTTGGTGGTCCACAGGGAAGATATCCACAATTCTTCATGGCATATCATGAATTATTGGTATGGTTACCTTTACTATATGATCAAAATAGAAAATTGTTTCTGTTGGTTTACATGATTCTATCTCATTCAAGACTAAGCAAATAGCTCTTTTATAAAGTTATCTTTCTCATAGATGCATAAATACATATAATCGATTAACTCACTTTCTAATTTCTTCCTTTTTTTCTTCTCTTTTCTCAGCGTGCTGGAGTAGTATTTCCTAAGCGACCTGTGAAGTCCACACCCATATTTAGGTCTGCAACATCATATCCTTATTCTATGAGAAAACATGACAAGAAAACAGAAAAACTAGAAGCTTCAAGCGATTCTGAGATTCATTTTCTAAGGTATATTGTCACTTACAAACCTGAAGTGGTGATAGCTAGTAGTAAAAAACCATCTTAATGCATGATTATCATAGCAGAACAGGTTCAATAAATACTATTTTGTTTGTTTTATTGCACCGAGTATTTAGCTAGTGTTAGCGTCTTATTTTCTTTATCCTATTTCTGTCATAAATAGATTTAAAAAAAAAAAAAAAGCTCATATCACTTAATCTAGAGGATGATCAAAGTGGTAGTGGTGGTGACTCAAGGCAGACTCATGGTTTCATAACAAGATGATGACTATTTGATATATTTCAGATTTTAAATCTGAGATTTTAGTTTGATGGCACCTTGCATTCTCTTTTTAACCTAGTATCTTACCCTTTTTTTTCTAGCTATGCTATTCAGTCTCTTTAAAGTGTTTTCTTAGTAAAGAGTAGAGGCATCTTTGCAATCAAGCTTTATTGCGTGTTTGACTTAAGGGAGATTTACATACATACCACATTCCCACCACCCATATATTTCATTTATACCACTCATATTTGATATGAAAGTAAACTATATGTGATATGTATGTAATATTAAAATTTTAGGTGCTATATATGTAAATAGAATAGTATGCAACGGTATGTATGTAAATTCCTATCTATGATGCACTGACACGGACACGTCGACACGGACATGACACGACACGGACACGGGACACGGCATTTTTTAAAAATATAGGACACGGGTGCGGCGTGGACACAACGGCATAATAATTTTTTAATATAATATATAAAATTAAGGTGACATTATTTTAAAAATGACAAGCAATAATAAATCAATTTCATGATAACTTGTTTAGCTTATAACATAAAGATGTTTTGTACAAAATATCTAGTACAACCACAAAAATATAAGCAAAAAATCATTTACCTGCCCCCCTGACAGGGTTCACCTAGCGGTACCGAGCATGTACCTAGCGATACCTAGCAGTACCTAGCATGTTAGCTTTTTTGGGTAAGTTTCAAAAAACAACAATTAATATTTTAGGCATTGAGAGACAGACGTCGATGCCATTTATCAGTCACCGAGAGAGGAGATGAAAATACATTCACTGCCAAAAAGAAATGAAATGAGAATATTCGATGATTGGGTATTAAGTGCGGACATTGATTTGGTGTTGTGGATAAGAAATAAGAAATTTAGTTTAAATCCCACAAAATACAAGAAATTCTATTTTAAAAAATTCATAAAATATTTAAGATACTCATTTCGGACACGCGTGTCCAATTTGCATTTAATATTTTTTAATCGGACACGCCAAATATGTGTCCGATACGTGTCGGAGGAGTGTCGGACGAGTGTCGTGTCGGACACTGCACGCCTCTTTGAGGAGAAGTGTCGGTGCATCATAGATTCCTATAGGATGGGATGAAGAAATTGATCTCGACTAATGAGATGAATATTAAAAATTAAGATCAATCAAATTGTTCTGCATTCAATAAGAAAGTTTCAGTCATGAATAATTATAAGCAAATATATATTAGTATAAGAATAAAAAACAATAATTAGTACTTTATTGCATTAATAGTCTTTAACACTAGTTCAAGATGGAAACAACAATACTAGCTTATAGGAAGGAAATGAAAGACCAACTTCACTAGCATCGATTGCCCAAAATCCAGTAGGGAAATAAGTAAAACTATAACATAAACTCAAGAACCAAATGAAATAAGTATTGTTGAAAGGTCTGGTCCAGTAGTGATTATCCACCGAGCAACTCAGTAGAATCTGGTAAAAAAATTTATCATGAATGTGTTTGATATTCAAATTTAGCAAATAGCTCTTGTTTATGAAATTAAAAATGATAAGATATGAGGCATGCAATTAATGAGATATGATTACAATATAATAGTAGTACAACCAAAAAAATCATATCATCAACTAGAATAATATTGCATGGCATGTATGAAAATTGTAGCATATTTTACGATGATTTAGATGAGATGATGTTCAAGATCATTTATATGAAAAATTGTAATCAATGTATTTAAATGCTAAAATATTCATGTGCAATCACATTAAGCATATTTGTGTGTGTGTATGGGCTCCGAATATTCGGCCCTGACCTCCTCGTTGCATTTCGGGGAAGTTTTAACGAATTAAATTCCAGCGTACATTTTGGGAAGACATATTAGATTTGTAGATAAGACACACTCATATATTTCACCCTCATTTTGCGAGGACTTTATGATCTGAGTTATGGTTTCCTATAGGCGCAAGCCCCTATAGTTAATTACATCTCCCGGGAACGAGAGAGAATTTTTTATTAAGGTTAGTCGTCAATCAGACACGTAGAAATATGTAGTATCTGGCATATAGTAGAAGCAAGGGTTTAATGTTGGAAATTTAATATTTAAAATTAGAAATTGCACTATTTTGCAATTAAAGCAAGATCCCATGGTAGGGGAATGAATGATGGATCCGATAAATTCCAGCGTACATTTTGGGAACGAATTAAATTGGTCCTTGGTCTACTTAGTCAAAGGAGGTAGTCGACCTAACCTGACAGAATGATCCTTGTTGGCAGCCATGGGTTTTTACGTCCAAGGGTACCTTGTAGACGTGGATGGGGTGAATATTTGCCCAAGGGGGCAAATTTGAATCCACGTCAACTAACAGAGGGATTTGTGCCCTATCGATTATATCACATTGATTCATTTTTGAACGATTTGATGCCACTGAGGAGCATACGGGCGCTGTCCATGACCGTAATTTAGTGATGTCATTTAGCGACGAACTAACCGGTTCAAAGGGACCCAGTCATAACAGTTTACTTGTGGTGTCATTTGGCGATAAAACCGCTGGTTAGAGGACACGTGTCACGTTCTTACTGATAGGATATTGTTTGAGAATGAATCCTAGTAATATTCTCGACCAGATATTAGCCCTTTGCGAGATGACGTACTTCTCAATTTGTTCTTCTCGGCAAACTGTTGTGGAGGATGAATGAGTTTTGCTTTAATTAGGTGATTCGATGGTTGATTTCGATTTTAAATATTTGAATTTTGGGATTTTGAGTTTTAGATATTTGTGGAGTTTTTTGAATTTCATGAGCATTTGAATGGTATTTTAAATATTTATGGTTAACTCCTCCAGTTGAGATCTACGTTCAACATGGTCATTATCGAGGTGTTCACGGGCATTTGGTAATTTTATTGATTGAACCTTGTCGACTCTGTCAACTTACCAATAGAGGATCGGGTTCGTTGTTGACTTTGGGTTTTTGTTAATGAATTTCTATGTTCACAGACCTTGAATGCCTAATATGAATGTATAAAACAGATATATCAGACGTATATATGTTTGATAGTTTGAGTCATATAGACTCCTACCTATCCATATATAAGGATTGGGGTCATTTATTAACCTGCGCAACATTTTCATACATCACGTGTATAAATACATCACGCTTGTCGGGGCTCATTCGGGTGTACGATTGTATGTGCATTTCTTGTGTTTATGTGTATACAAGTTGTAGCGCACGTATGGGGGAGGTTCTTGGAATATTCAACAGGTCTCCTACTGCGACTCATAGGAACTCGTATTTTGTTATGTGTCATATATCTTCACTCGCGGGAGAACAGTGTATTTTCTTTGAACTTTTCAAATACACCTTCGTCGTCATTTTGTTTTATGTTGATATTGAATACTCGGTGTTGTTGCATTTGACACTGGTCCCTCCATACATGCTAACTGACAAATTTGTGGCATACATTCGCAAACTAGTTCAATGTGTTCATCTGTATGTGTATGCCAGGGACTTTTCACATTTAAGATATATTGATCACTATTGACTTTTACCAGAACCATTGCTCATATTGCAAGACTTATGTCATCACCTCCTTAATTATTAGGTTGGCTTTTGTATGTACTTTAAACTTTATGCAGTCACTTGTAGGAGCTTATACTTGTCGTGGTTCCTCTGCAGCATTTCGGCTATCACTGTTGGCATGTGCATTAATATGCCCACCTGTAATTTGACATTGACCCTTGGCTGAGCTACATTCATCAACAATTTCTCCTTATTTGTTGCCCGACGAGTCACTACATATCGATCATTGCCACTTGTAAATGATGCATTGTTGCATTCACCACTATCCTTTTCATGTGTACTGTGTGTTGACTTTCAACATTCATAGGCAATTACTATGAGCAACTTCTTAGATACTCTTGACAAATCAAATCACTGCTAAGGTTCTTCGTGATCTATTTATAATTTAGACCACACCTCACTCCTAATTGTCGCTGACCACTGCATACGAGCAATTATGCTAGGATTCTTATTCACCACAAGGCTTTATTCATTTAAGTAATTTAGTGTTGCTCTTGCATTTAGTTTTTCCTTTGTTTTCATTGATGAACTGGTATTTTACGTATGTGTTGATATTCATTTGAATGCATCCAGGTGTATCGCATTGTTATTTTTACTTCATATCAAATCCTTCTGGTTGTATATGATTGCATGATTAACATAGACATTGCTTGCTCTCATTTGCAGGAATTTATTGTATTTGATTATTCCTGTATTATAGTTGTCTATGCATATCCTCTACAGTTTTGACATTCATGATTTGTCTCTTTCTTGTTCATCGATGCTCATCATCCGTTAGTTTACAATGCTTGTACAGGGGTCGTGTATATTATAAGCATCCTGCATATACCTACAGACAAGCTAGCATGCTTGATACAAGTCTTATGCTTTTGCCTGTAGGATCGATATCCAAAGTTCATATTTATGAACAAGTCATACATGCCACAAGTTCCTTATGAATGCTCATTAATAGGTTATCATCAGGTTTCATTATTATGATAATCATTTGCTATTTGATTTCATTTTTCATTTTAGATGTCCAATTGCAGTTTAGTTCCATGTGGTCCATATTGTTCGTCCTCTTGCACTTTGTTCAAATCAAGTCCATGCTCAGCTCAAGTCCTGATACAAACATGGTCCCCTGCGGTTCATTATCACTTGTTTGATTCAAATTCATTTATGTTCAAATTATCATTGTTCACTTAACAAGTTCAAAGTGAATCATTTATGTTTGTTTAAGTCTATAATAAGTTCATTATAGTTTATTTTCAGTTCGCCGTCAATTCAAATTTAAGTCTGAGTGCGGTCCCTTGTTTATCAGAAATTTAGGCAGCCTCTCGGCGTCTCCCTCGTTTAGGGGAAACTACAAAAGTCTGGGCCTCCCGCCATGCTAAAGAAAAGTGTGCACGGTAGATGTCGGATAACATTGCGTCCGTAAATCTTTCCCACCACGCTAGAAAAAGGCGTGTATAGATCTTTGGGTACCTGCTTAAAATGCCTAGTTGTTTCTCTGTAGGTGCTGAAGTGCGTACGGGTACTTATATTCATCCCCACCACCCTAGAGAAAAACGTGTACAGAGCCTACCTGCCTTGCCAAAGGCGTCGCACCAGGTTCCCTTCCCACCACACTAGAGAAAAATGTTTATGAACAATTTTTCGGCTCGATGCAAATGTCCAGTGCGAGATTTTTTGAATTAGAAACTTATATCTTTGCGATGTTGATGATGGCAGCGGGGATAAAAAATGCATAAATGTATCTTTCTTTTTTTTTCTTTTCTCTCTCTCCATATATATATATATATATAAGTATATATACTTAAAATAATTATAATAATATCACTGATAATAATAAATAATAACAGAAAGAAATAAGCTAACTAATAATGATAAAAAAAGGTAAAATTAAAAATACAATACATAGAAACAGTCAGTGAGTCAGCACAAGTAGTTGAAATCGGATGGGACTATAGGTGGCAATGGGTTCGGCTGGAGCAGTGAGGAGGATGCGGCTACCGCAAGAGCTCAACTGGAGGTGTCTTCGGGCTAGGGTCGGGAGCAGGCGTCGGGTCAAGGAGTTGCAGTTTGGACTCGAAGGGTAAGGGCAGATCTTGCGTGGATTTCGGTTTGAAGAGATGGAGAGGCAGCGGCTGGAGCTTGAGGTAAGAGCAGGTCGGTTCGTGGAGTTCTTCAAGCAGCAAGAGATCGGGAAACAGGCGAGATATCTGGGTGAGGATCGGAAGTCGGGCGTGGTCTTGAGGTCGGGTATGGCTGCTGGGGGAAGATTGGGTTTGGCGAACTCGACAGCACCTCGGAATAAAGGAGGGAGACGGAGCTTGGTGTCGGTAGGTGAGGAGGAACCGCGGCTGTGGAGTATTCAAGGGCCTGGAGGGAGAGTGGATCAGATATGGAGGATGAAATCGATTGGAGAGGATGGAGGTCCGGCTTGGGTCTAGAGCGAAATCGGGGCTGCTGGAGGTCGGAAGAGGCTTCGGAAGGCTACAGGAATCGGAAGCAGGGAGAAGTCGGAGGTTTGAGGACTCGTTAGGCCTGGTTTGAGACAGCTTAATTTTATTTTCAGTTTTGAAATGGCATAATTTCTTTTTTTTGACTCTTTGAATGCTTTTTTGACTGTTTGAATGCTTTTTTGAAAATTCAATTTATTTATTGTTTTTAAAAACGTTATGGTATTAGCTTCTACCTTTAAAACCTACATTTCTTGATGTTTTTGAAAAAACTTCAATCAAAGAAATGGAGGTTTTAAACGGAGAAGCTAATACCATAACACTTCTCAAAACAATAAAAAACTGGAGTTTCCGAAAAAACATGCACCACATTTAAACAGCGAAAAAAAAAATTATGACGTTTTGAAATTGGAGAAGGGAAAATTAAGCTGTTTCAAACGAGGCCTTAATAGCGAGGCAGATCGCAGGATTTAGGCAGGATTTCTGATCGAGACTCAAAGGGCGCCGAATGTACAGGTATGAAACAACGGTATTTGCGCAGAATTTCAGGATTATGTGGATTTTGTATTCGATTTCAATTTTTTCTTTTAATTTGCTGTTGAGGTCAACAATATATATACACACACACAAATGTTTAATTTATCCTCTATCAAAATTATTTTTATATTGATATATCTATAGTTAGTTTTACTTAAATGCCATGAACTAGAAAGGTACGCTGTAATTCATGAAAATCCAATGATTTTCAAAATAGTCATCTTACTATGGGCCACTTGACCTTGCTACCTAAATTCAAAAGGATTCTATCAACCTACACATCCATTGCAAACACAATATATATGTATAATAAGCAAGCATTTAATAAGTTTTCTATATTCAATATGATTGTTACTAGCTTAATAATAATAACAGGGTTTTGCATTAGTAATATTATTGTATTCAATTAAAGTACAGTGCATGGAAACAAATCTTAATAACATGCATAAACAATTCAAAGTAAGATAATTTATGCAATAATTAATCATGATAAAGCTATCTACAAATATGGCATTTTATTATGAACATTGAATAAGATATTTGGTATGTGTAGCTCTTATAAAATGTGAAAGGTATGACCGACGAGTAATAAAATATTTAAAAAATCTATTATAAACATCAATGATAATACTCTTAACAAAACTCCACAGTGAATTGTTTTTGGCAACTAGGGAGAAGGCTCATGAAAATGGTTGCTCTACTATAGGAAGAGAGGGCTAAGGCGTGCATGACCTTTGGGTGAAAGGGGGTGTTCAAGGTTTTCGTTTGCTGCAGGACCAATTCAATTTGTTTGGATTTGGTTTCTGACTGTTATGATCACATCCAGTTCTTGAGAAAGTAGGATAATGCTTTAATCTGATACTAAAGACAATTATGAACTTATTTCTAAAACTACTGATTTTATATGCTTTTAATTTTTTTAATTGACAGTTCCATAAATTAATCCTCATGCTTTCATTTTCATTTCATTCTCAGTCTTGCAGATATTCAAAATGCTCGTGTTATCATGGATGTTCTTGTTGAAATGCTAAATGCTTTAGATCCGAGAAATAAAGAGGTATTCTTTTAACTTTATGACTGCATTTATAATTTTATATTGAGTGTTTATGATGTCAAACAATCCATGGAATTATGGTTTAAATGAAGTTATTTTTTGCATATATGTATTTATAATGTTTTATATTATTATTATTATTATGTTTGATATGTATCATGAACATTATTATTATCATTATCAGCATGACATTTATTCTAAGAATATTATTCATTATCATAAATCACTTAAAAACTTCATCCTTCATGCATGGGAAGGAATACCAAGAGGAACTTGAATTTTCAAATTTTGATTTTTTTTTGAGCTTCCCTAAAGACTTTTTTTCAAGCCTAAAAAATGACAAGTTCTACCATACTCCAAGCAAGAATGATTGACCAAGCTGGGAAAATAAAGCTTCAAACTTGCAAAAATTGATTATGCGATGTCCAAGCAAGTTTGATTGCAAAGAAAATTACAGGATGTATGTTTTATGTTGTTTATAATGTTAGCTGACCCTCTCCTTTTCTTTTTCTTTGCTTTGTAATGTTATAAATACTCATTTTAACAAGAGAATAAAATGGTTTGCTCTTTAGTATGATTTGATGGTCTTCTCTTTTGGAGAGCTTGATGAATATTTCATAAAATTGTTATTAGAAGCATGGGTGGATCCACCCTAGTCTTAGAAATTTTTTTTTTTAATATTTATAGGAGATTTTTTGAAATATTTTGAGTATTTTAGTCATTTTGCCCCCCCTCAAAAATACTTTTTGTCCTAATTTTATCAATCCTAGGCATTTTTGTCCATCCCCACAAAAAAAAATTTTTTTTGCCCACCCTGAAAAAGGAAGCTGGATCCGCCCCTGATTAGAAGTCATGTCTAAAATTACTCTGATTATGATGCTTTAGCCCTTCACCTTCCACCACATTTTAACGCTTCGTTTGGGCCAGCTTTTTTACTACTTTCTAAAACAACTTTCTAGTACAATTTTTTTTTAATTAGAATTTTTTGTACTAGAAAGTCATTTTAGAAAGTAGTAAAAAAACTATCTCAAACGAAGCCTAAAAATATCAGCTAAGTGTTTCCTTGCAGCAATCTATTCATTCTTGTAAGTTGCATTCTAATGGCAGTTTGATTTTCTCTAGTTTGATAAAAGAAGTTGTGCATTGCCACAAGCTTGAATATCATCGTAAATTTGCAGGATGTCAAGCAGGAGGTGATCGTTGAACTTGTTGAAAAGTGTCGTCTATATAGGCAAAGGGTGGTTCATCTTGTTAACTCTACTTCGTAAGATTCTTTATTTTCATACTTATTATTGCAACTTCATTACTGCCTGTTTGCACCTGCATGTTTGGGATCGAGTCATACCAGGTGGGTCAGGCCAGATCGAGCCAACCCGACCCATTAAATGGGCCAGCTTTTTATACAACTGACCCACGCCCATGATGTAGTTGAATGCACTAATTTTACATGCCCTGGCCTGGTATGATTACTAGGCATTTTATTTGGTTTGTTCGTCTATTATAGGATATAATTGTAGTGAATAAATTTCATTATTTACTTCATAATAATACGAAAATAAAAAAATATAAATATTGATTAATTAATTAATTATCAAATATATTGGGAGAAAGGAAACACTTATTTTTTTAAATATCTACTTAATTTTGGGTTGAACCTAAAAAGCTTATTTTGATGTTAATAATTAATTTATTAATGTTAAAGCAAAGCATGTGAGAAAAAGTTTTATTTGATAGTATAATTAATTTATTAAATGCCATAAATATTGGGAGAATAAAGCAAGGCCCTCTTTTAAATATCTACTCTTTTTTTTTTTTTAATATTTTCAACTGAGTGTCTATCACATAAAAGTTCTAGTTTTGCTTTTGCATTTGAAAATATGATATATGTAAATTAAATTGGGATCTAGTTAAGGGATTGCATTGGAATCAATTTTGTATTTCAATTTCCATCAATTTATATCTTATGAGCTATTTAAAATTAATATTGTACAACCAAAGACTAAATTAGAGAAATGTGATATTCCATGATGCCACAAGGGGTCTAAGTGAGTCAAGTTGCTCGTGAGGCGGCTCGAGTTGGCTCAATAAATGGCATGTGAGCCGAGCTTGATGAGCTAACAAGCAAAGCTTGAGCTAGCCCCGACTTGACTCGTAGCTCGTGAACTGGCTTGTTTAGAAAATATTAATATAAAATATACTTAAAATATATTAGGATTCAAGATTTTAAATACAAAGTTGTTAAAAATATTTAAAAATTATATCCTAATTTTTTATATTAAGTAATTATTTATTATTTTTCTTATAATTTCTCATTCTTTTTCACAATTTTATTATAATAATTACTTAATTTGTTCTGCAAACACAACAAAAACCAAACCCAAAATCACACAACCAACGCAAAGAACATGACGATTTACATGGTTCGGCGAAGATGTCTACGTCCATTGGGAGGGGATGATGATTTCACTATATTGGAGAAATAAGGATTATAATTTGGCTATCTCTAACTCTTATGCATCTACAACAGCCCTTTCCCCTCAATTTATAGATTTGAGGTGAACAAAATTAACAAAAAAAACTTTCTAACCTAATCCACAATCAAATCCTCAATCAAATCACCTAATTAGGAAAATTATCAGCTCCCTCAATTATATTAATAAGCCATCAAAGCCTTTCAAATCAAGGCTGATTTGGATTTGAAAAGATTTCCAAATCAATAATCTCCACCTCATCTTTCACTTTAGAAAGTGGAAGATGATAAACCAAACTCCAATATTATAACGACCGTACCTAGATGGTTGCCTACGTACCCCCCTCTCAAGAGATCAAGCTGAGCGTATTCCTTCAAAATAAGTGGACAATCAGTCATGAGTACTGCACCACTGCCGTGGTGACAACCTCTCCAATGCCAAGCATGTATTAATTGTATCCTTCAGATACATCAGGATACTCTTTACAGCTTGTTGATGAGTCATTCCTGTATTATATATAAACTCGCTCACAACGCCAACTGCTTGTGCAAATGTGCAAGATCTTGGTCAAGCTGCTCCAAAATCATACCATAGTGTACTATAAGTGCCAAGTGACCACAGATCAAGGGATGCTTAACCATTGGGGAGAGCACCTCATCATAAGCAATCCATTCCCATTGCGAAAAGACTTTTTCACCCATCTAGCCTTGTACTGCACATTAGCTCCATGAGATCCTTCTTCACATACACCCATTTGCACCAAATAGACTTCCTTCTTGGAGGAAGCTTCACCAACCTTCAAGTAGTATTCTCCTGAAGAGACTTCATCTCTTCATTCATAGACCTCTTTCATAAATCACCATCAAGGAAGTCCATTGCTTCCTTATAATGACTAAGAATTTCAACCTCCGTGGTTGAAAAATGCAAATGCAAATTGGTCCCTGAACCGAGCTAGTTTTGAGATATTATGGCGTCTGGATTTGTTCCTCGCAATAGATTCCTAAGCTGGAATCTCATCCTCAACATCATTTTCTACTGCATGATCTGCAGCTGAATCAGGTATCTGAGTAGAAGTGATCTGTCTCTGTGGAACAAATAGAGTTACATCGAATTCTAACTTTTGCAGTGCAGCTGTGGTCCCAATAAAACTCTCCACTTGCTTAAAGTCCCGAAGTGTCAACATGCTCGCCTTGTAAAATGTAAAATTATGCTATTGAAAATCTTCTTCTCTATTGGATCATAGAGTTTGAAGCCCTTGACTCCAAGCTTGAAGCCAATAAAGATTGCCTTCTTTTCACGTGATTTTAGTTCATCATTTTGAACATGATAGTAAGCTGGACACCCGAGCACTTTCAAGTGCTCATCATAATATTTAGTATAATGCCATGAACACATCTCATTTTGGATCTCTTCTCAATATCTGTAGAAGGCAAACAGTTCACCAAATGACAGGTATAGTCTATGGCCTCAGCCCAATAGGCTCTATCCAACCCACTATTGGATAACATACACCGAATTTTATCCACCAAAGTTTAGTTCATCATCTCTACCACCCCGTTCTGTTGTGGTGTCTCTCTAACAGTAAAGTGGTGCTCTATCTCAGATCTCTGAGACTCCTGTAATAATGCATCTGAGGTGTACTCTCCCCCATTGTCTGATCTGATACACCGGATCCTTTTGCAAGTTTGAGTCTCAATCTACTTCTTTCAAGTTCTAAAAATCTCAATTACCTCACTCTTGTGTCTCATGGTGTACACCTAAACGTATATGGAGTAATTATCAATAAATTATACAAAAATATTGCCGCCTATAGAATGATGCTCTTCGTCGAGCCCCAAATATCTGTGTGAACATACTCCAGCATACCATTTGTATTGTGGATGGCAATACCAAGGGATACCCATGTCTTTTTGTCAAACACATAATATTTATAGAAATCGAGTTTGTAAGTGCTTGCTCTTTTGAACAATTCTTGCTTCACCAAAGCCATAAGAAAAGCCTCTCCAATATGAGCTAGCTGCATATGCCACTATGTAGTAGCATCGGAAGAAGCAATAACAACAATCACCATTCTACCCTGAAGGTAGTAAAGGTTGTGATGATGAAGTCCTTTCAGAAAAACCAACACTCCATGATATATCTTTAAAACTCCTGCCTTAATGACTATCTTATAGCCCTTAATCTCTAAATTCCCAACAAACAACAAAATACTTAAACTTGTCTTACATCAGTCAGCTCTCACACAATATCATCATGCATTCTGATGAAGATGCTCCCTACACCAACTGTACGATAAGCTTGATCATTTCTCATGTTCACAACACTATTATCAAGCTTCTTGTAAGTACTGAACCACTCTCTAGCGGGACAAATGTGATAGGTGACACCTGTAACCATAATCCAACTTGAACCATCTGTATACAAACTCTGAGAAGCTACAAATAGTGATACATCTGAGTCTTAGTCATGCTCTTCCATGTTAAGATTTGCCTTTGCCTTTGTGAAAATTTCTTTTCCCTTCTCCTTTAACTTCAGCAATCATTCTTCCAATGACCGGTCTTTAAATAGAAAACACATTGATTCTTCCCAAGGTTACGCCCACGATACTTGATCTACTTGTTGCTGTCGCCCATTTTATTCTTCTGTTATTCATATCTCCAATGCTGAAGTGTTAGAGCCGCGACCGAATCCATCTTAGCAAATTTCTCACCCCGACGTCGGAACCCGTGATTCAACAGCGCAGTAGTCACCTCACCATAATTCAAGACCTCCTTCACATGAATGAGTGTCATCGTGATGTTTTCATACTCATCCAGAAGCAAATTCAACATAAGGAGCGTCTTCTCTTTATCTCCAACATCTTCATCCATATTTAAAAGATCTGCCAACAACTTTGTGAAGTCATTCAGATGCTCATCAATTGTAACCCTATATTTCATTTACAACCTATAAAGCTAACATTTTTTATGGAAACGATTCTCCACGCACTTTTTTAGATACTTATTCTCTAAAATCTTCCACAACTTCATAGCATAAATCTCCATCATCACCCTATACTTGATCTCCTGAGATAGGCAATTTCTGATCAAGTCACAAGCACTATGGCTCATCTTGAGCCAGTCTTTCTCTAAAATCTCTTTAGGACGTTCATTGCTCTCTAGAACTTTCTCCAGATTTAAAGAGCACAAGGCATCCATCACTTCACCTTGTCACATGCCAAAGTTTCATTTTCCATCAAATTTCATCACATTAATTTTGATAGGATGTATAACCACCTGATGGATCGACACCTTCTCCACCATCGAGGAAAATGTATCTATGGCTCCATCGGATCTCATAGCCTCCACCAAATTGCAGGCATCTCACGATGATGTAATTGCACCAATCCAGCTCTCTTTCGAGCAACAATTAGGAACAAAATCAGTAGTCCAACCACAGTCAATCAATTGTCTTGAATTTCCTTTACTGCTCCTTGCAAGTCTTAATTTAGAGACAAAATCACTCAATACTCATGAACCATCTTCCATTTGCTTGATTTAGGCTCGGGGATACAGACTCTTGCTAACTCCTCTCTTCTGTGCAACACACGAACCGAAACCAAAACTTCCCTTCCGCGTGAACTTCTGCACGTCAGGCCCACAATCAGGCCTCTTGCTTATGTGTGCGGCACCAGATCTGAAACAGCGTGCAACCCAGGTGCTCCCAAGCCTTTCAACTATCTCATGAGCACTTTACGCACATTGCTCGCCTCAGCCGACCGCACGCCTATGCTCTGACCTCGTACATCCGCTTTTGCATCGTACTCGCCTTTCGTACGTAGGCCCAACCGTCGTCGTTGTTCACGCACTGCTCCGACCGCGCTGTTGTTTGTGTGCAATTCATCTACACTTGTTCTGCTATCAGCCCTTGCATACCCGACCGTGCTCTACTCTGCACGAAATAGTGCTTGAGCCTCCTTGTCGTGCGTGCCTCTCCGGTTTGACCTAGTCCACGCACACAGGAAATCTTACTAAGTTCTCCGCTCGACCCAGGAAACTCGTGCTTCACACGTGATTTGTATGTACGGCCCACCTTCAGCGACCTTCACGTGATTCACAAGCGAAACTGCACATGTACCTGCCTTCCTTCTTTCTCCTCAACGAACCATACCAACATAAGATTCTTCCGTTCTTCACGTTGTTGCCAGAAAATCATCAAAATCTGACTCTGATATCAATTGTTGTGTAAACACAATAGAAAATCAAACCCAAAATCACACAACCAACACAAAGAACATGGTGATTTACGTAGTTCGGTGAAGATACCTATGTTCACGGAGAGGAAATGATGATTTCATTATATTGGAGAAAATAAAGATTACAATTTGGCTCTCTTTAACTCTCATGCATCCACAACAGGCCTTGCCCCTCAATTTATAGATTTGAGGTGATCAAAATAAGGATAAAACTTCCTAATCTAATCCCCAATCAAATCCTCAAATTAGAGAAATAATTAACTCCCTAATCAATTACATTAATGAGCCATCAAAGCCTTCCAAATCACGGCTGATTTGGATTTGGTAAGATTTCCTAATTGACATAAATCATAATCATTTTCTCTCTTTCATAATAAATGAGCCAACTCATTAACCGACTCAAGCTCGTTGAATAAAGCTCGAGATCGAGTTCGAACTCGATTAATTAATCAAGCTTAAGCTAGGAGTTACTCGAGCTTGGCTCGGCTCATTTACACCCCTAGACGCCACATATTTGGGACTGCTTTTTCTCTTGGTTAAATTGGTGTGCTTTTAGCACATATTAAATGCTTGAAAAATGAAGTTTTATTAATTTCATTACAGTTTTTTGCATCTTTACCTAAATTTTTACAACCACTTCGTACTTTTTACTTGATCTATCGTTCTCTTATTCTTCCCAGGAACGAGAAATTACTTCGTGAAGGGCTTGCTTTAAATGATGATCTACAAAATGTTCTATCAAAATATGATGCTATTGTTATTGAAGTTTCTAAAAAACCAAAGAAGCAGAACTCTCTCCATGATTTGGTAGATCTTCATGATAAAAATCAGGATGCTGACAATGAATCACATCGAAGGTGAGCCACTTCCCATAAACATACTAAATCCCATCATCGCTAAAAGTCTTATAATTAAAAAAATAAAATAAATAAAAGAGGTGAAATTTATAAAAAATGATTTGAAGGAAAATCTGTTAGATCATTTCAATGGAAATAGTTATATGATTTACAGGTCAAATGCTCCTCTTCAACAGCTCTTGCTACCTGCTCCTCCTGGACCAAATGATATACCAATTACTTCTCCAAAATCATGTCCTCAATTAGATCTTCTTAGCGGCGAGGAGTTCAATACAACTTCAACAGATAACTCATTAGCTCTTGTGCCAGCAAATGAAACAACTGCTCCTTCGGCAAATGACCAAAATATGCTAGTTCTAACAGGCATTTATTCTCCAAGGAACTGTGGAAATAACTGTACTGCCAATATAGCTTTTCAAGCTGAACAAGATTATACTGTTGCATCTCTGTTTCAGCAGCAACAGCAGTCTATATCTTACTTAGATGGGAGTGCCATGAACCATGGACAATCTATACATGAGCACGCTTCATTTGTTCAAAAAGCTCAGCCAAGTCATGGGGATCTTTCATGGAATAATCATAATGTGGATACACAGCAACAAGCACGTATCGGTAAGCTTGTTTGATCCTCTTTACTTTGTGTATTAATGGCGCTTCATTTTGATTAAAAATGTTTTCTTTTTTTTTCCTTTTTTCACTTGCATATGAAGAATCTTAATGGTTCTATATACAAAAACAACATCAAGCCTTTGTCCCACTACGTGGGGTTGGCTTCATGAATCTTTTTTTGTCATTGTGTCCTGTTAAAAGTCTAATTCTCATTTAAATCTAATAAAGAAATATTAAATTTTAATATTTTATAACCAAGTCTTTTTAGGTCTACCTCTACCGTTTTTAACATAAGTCAAATATAATACCTCAACTTTCTTAGCCGGATCATTGGAAAGCCTCCGTTTAATGTGCCCAAACCATCTAAGGTGACTCTCTCTAATCTTATCTTCCAGTGGAGCTACTCCACCCTTTAATGGTTCTATATACACAAGCGCCTAAAATAATTTGACTCATATGTTGATTTTAAGTTTACATAAAACCAGAATAATAGATGTCAGGTTCTGTCTGGCATGAAAATTTATGGGTTGTTTGGTTCACTAATATGTCCATGTACTATCTTCTTATTAAGGGATATCCGTTTTTTGTTCGTTGGTATCTCTAAATAACAAAGCTGTAAATGATGGTTGTCCTAATTCCTTCGTCATTGAAAACCCTATCCCCAATTATTTAGGATCGGTTTATGAACCCTTCTTCGTTTGTTGAGTGCTCAATGAGGTAATAAGATGTTAACTCTAGTTTATGCAAGTATTTTTGTACTACTTCTAGGCATGTTGTGTTTTACTTATTTGGTGCTCCCATTTCCTTCCTAATTCAGTCATGATCCTAATTTTTTTTAATTAGTTCAGACAAATAATTTACAACTCACTTGCGCAAAAAATTCATGTTCAGATCATTATTCCCAACATTTTATCAAGCAGGCTATGTGATGAGGACATCCCACCTTGGAGATTCTACCGGAGGCATGGCCGTCGATCTACGACCACAATTGCACCGCTTTACTTTTGATTATCATTGTATTAGATTTATTATTGATGTATTAGTTTATTATATTTATGAGTTTTATTGTACCTTTCCTTCGATACCCTCACTTGAGGGCCTAGTCATGTGTATGCCTTAGGGGCAAGTTGGTCTTTCGTATTTTCTTCATTTTATTGGCTATTTAAAGCCTCATTCTCCTTCTTTGAGGCGATGATGAATATTATAAAAAAAAGATTTTTGCAATTGTGTTTTGAGAGTATGGAGAGTTTGGTGAGAGTTTGAAGTCCCTAGGGGGGGGTGAGAAGAGAGAGGAGGAAGTTGCTGGAAGAAGTGGACCACGAGCCCGAATGGTTCCTGCGGTTGGTGGGTAATACACTGAATTTGAAATTTGAAATTCTTTCCTAAATCATTTAGCTTAATTTTGGAAAGTCTTCCTTAAATCAAGGATGGGATAAATCTGAAATTGATTGGGAATCAATTCAAATTCCCACATTCATTGAATCTGGACAACTCCCTTCCCCTCTCTCTTTGGTCATCCCCCTTCTCTTGCTCTTTTTAATTAATTAATTTCCCAATTGGACATCCCATTAAGGGAATTAATTAACAGCCCCTCTCTCCCCTCCTCTCTCTCCAATCTGACTTAAATACCACCCAATCAAGCCTTGATTTGGTCAGCCCCCTTCCCTCCCTTTTCCAATTAATTAGGAAATTTAAAACTCAAAGTTTGCCTCCCCTTTTCTTCACCAAATATGAACCAAAATTCCCTAATTCCCCTAAGCTTGGCCGACCCCTTCCTCCCTCCTTAATCCACTAAAACCCTGAGCAAAACCTTTCCCCTCCTCCTCCTCCTTGGGATCCTTGAGAAATCCTCTCTTACAAAATGATTAGTCAAGGGCAGTAATGATCTTTCCTCCACCACATCAAGGCATCCTTCTCCTCGTGAATGGCAGAATGTGAACAGGACCACGGGTTTGTTTACAACGAGCAAGGTCACGTCGACATCCTCAAATCAACATTTTTCAATCTCAACTTAGAGATTGATCAAACTGTGGAAGAATACATCGAGAGGATCGTCTTCACCCTCGCTGAAGCCATCGACGAACAACTCTCTCTGGTGCAGTGGTAGATCGTATCCAAACCTTGATCAAGGTGAATCTTTCCTTCAAATCTTTTTCCTCTCTAAGTCTTACCTTAATTTGTGGGATCACAAAGATCATGTCATATTTTCTCCGTTTTATCAATCCTTCAAAGAGTTGAGTGAGGGGCCGAACTAGTGACTATTCTCATTGTTAATTTAGGGATTTCTCGTTGAAAATCCTTCATGTATGCTATGCTTGAATAATTGATTATTTTGTGATCTTAACTTCTAGTTGTATGACTTGGCCTAAGCTAGTTACACCCCTCTCTCGTTTTCTTTCATTTTTTAAATCGCTATAAGTTTAATATTTAATATTGTTCTCATCTAAAAACGTGTAAATTCTTATTTATCATTGTCTAAGCATTTAAGTCCTACATCACTATGCTAAGATTAACACTTAATATGTACACTCAAGACCTAGCTTGCAGACCACAATTGGCAATGTAAATGTTCATTAAGGCTAATGATGATAAAAGTTACTAACATTTGTGATTAAGGATTTAAGACAATAATTAACAACAACAACAACAACATCAAGCCTTTATCCCACTATGTGGGGTTGGCTACATAAATCATTTTTCTCCATTTTGCCATGTTTAAAGTTAAATTCTCATTATTTCTAATATTTTATAACCAAATCTTTTTAGATCTACCTCTACCTTTCTTAGCATTAGTCAAATCTAATACATCCACTTTTCTAACCATGTCATCAAAAGGTTGTCGTTTTATGTGACCAAATCATCTAAGGCAACTCTCTCTAATCTTATCTTCCCTGGAGCTACTCCAACCTTTTCACGTATATGCTCATTTCGTATCTTGTCTTTAAGAGTAATGCCACTCATCCACCTGAGCATCCTCATCTCTGCAACACTTAACTTAATATTATGCTTCTCTTTTAATGACCAACATTCTGCACCATAAAGTAGTGTAGGTCTATGATAGGAAACACTTGGATCCCCAAGTGTGTCTCACCGAAACTTCTTTGGTCATCCCCCCTTCTCTCGCTCTTTTTAATTAATTAATTCCCCAATTGGACATCCCATTAAGGGAATTAATTAATCAGCCCCTCTCTCCCCTCCTCTCTCTCCAATCTGACTTAAATATCACCCCATCAAGCCTTGATTTGGTCGGCCCCCTTCCCTCCCTTTTCTAATTAATTAGGAAATTTAAAACTCAAAGTTTGCCTCCCCTTTTCTTCACCAAATATGAACCAAAATCCCCTAATTCCCCTAAGCTTGGCTGGCCCCTTCCTCCCTCCTTAATCCACTAAAATCCTGAGCCAAACCTTTCCCCTCCTCCTCCTCCTTGGGATCCTTGAGAAATTCTCTCTTACAAGATGATTAGTCAAGTGCAGCAATGATCTTTCCTCCACCACATCAAGGCATCCTTCTCCTCGTGAATGGCAGAATATGAACAGGGCCACGGGTTTGTTTACAGCGAGCAAGGTCATGTCGACATCCTCAAATCAACATTTTTCAATCTCAACTTAGAGATTGATCAAACTGTGGAAGAATACATCGAGAGGATCGTCTTCACCCTCGCTGAAGCCATCGACGAACAACTCTCTCTAGTGCAGTGGTAGATCGTATCCAACCCTTGATCAAGGTGAATATTTCCTTCAAATCTTTTTCCTCTCTAAGTCTTACCTTAATTTGTGGGATCACAAAGATCATGTCATATTTTCTCCGTTTTATCAATCCTTCAAAGAGTTGAGTGAGGGGCCCAACTAGTGACTATTTTCATTGTTAATTTAGGGATTTCTCATTGAAAATCCTTCATGTATGCTATGCTTGAATAATTGATTATTTTATGATCTTAACTTCTAGTTGTATGACTTTGCTTAAGCTAGTTACACCCCTCTCATTTTCTTTCATTTTTTAAATCACTATAAGTTTAATATTTAATATTGTTCTCATCTAAAAACTGTAACATCTTATTTATCATTGTCTAAGCATTTAAGTCCTACATCACTATACTAAGATTAACACTTAATATGTACACTCAAGACCTAGCTTGCAGACCACAATTGGCAATGTAAATGTGCATTAAGGCTAATGATGATAAAAGTTACTAACACTTGTGATTAAGGATTTAAGACAATAATTAACAACAACAACAAGCCTTTATCCCACTATGTGGGGTTGGCTACATAAATCATTTTTCTCCATTTTGCCCTGTTTAAAGTTAAATTCTCATTATTTCTAATATTTTCTAACCAAATCTTTTTAGATCTGCCTCTACCTTTCTTAGCATTAGTCAAATCTAATACATCCACTTTTCTAACCATATCATCAAAAGGTTGTCGTTTTATGTGACCAAATCATCTAAGACAACTCTCTCTAATCTTATCTTCCCTGGAGCTACTCCAACCTTTTCACGTATATGCTCATTTCGTATCTTGTCTTTAAGAGTAATGCCACTCATCCACCTGAGCATCCTCATCTCTGCAACACTTAACTTAATATTATGCTTCTCTTTTAATGACCAACATTCTGCACCATAAAGTAGTGTAGGTCTAACCACTATCTTATAGAATTTTTCCTTAAATTTGAGGTGGACTTTTCTATCACACAACAAGCCCGATTCATTCCTTCACTTCAACCATCCAACTTGAAATTTACTATATCCTCATCAATTTCACCAACACTCCGAACAATAGACCCAATATATCTAAAGCATGTACTCTTATTAATAAAATTACATTACATATATTCAGTTTTAAATCTACTCAAACGAAAGCCTTTATACTCTAGGGTTGACCTCCATAATTCAAGTTTACCTTCAAATCTCTCTTTAGTCTAATCAACAAGAAATATCATCAGCAAAAAGCATACATCAGGGTACAACATCTTGCAAATGTCTAGTAAGAATATTCATGATTAAAGCAAAAAAGATATGGACTTAAGGATGATCATTGATGTAATCCAACTGAAATAGGAAAATACTTTATCAAACCACCTTATGTCTGAACACAAGTAACAACTCCTACATACATATTCTTAATGACTTGAATATAAACATTATTAGCCCCTTTCTTTTGTAGAACAATTAGTAGTATGCATCAAAATGCACAGTATCATATAAAACAAATAAATAACATAAAGAAGCTGTTGATTGAATTGAATTTGTGATTATAATGTTTGTGGCCATCAACTCATAAAAGTCATCAAATATAGTCAAACTTATTTGAAGAGAGTCTGGTTATCAAAACACTGAATTTTTTTCCTTTGAACAGGAGAAGTCGATCAAGGTGGAGCTCTCCCCCCACCTCCTTGGGAGATTGGACTGGCTGAAAGTAGCCAGCCGTTGACCATACAACAGCAGCATTTCCAAAATGAGCAGACACAAGAAATTATTACATATTCTACAGGAATTCAGCGAAACCAACCCATGGGAATGTTTCCTCCTCATGATCAAGCTTACCATCTCTCAAATGCATATTCTCAGTCCATGCAGGATTATAATTACGGCCAACAGTCAGAATCTCACTCTTACTCAAACACCAGAGAGCTCTCTCATAAATTGAAAGGGCTTGGCTTGCAAGATAGTTACATGAATGCAGGTCATTACTACCAAATGCCTTCTACTTCATCTTCTTCTTACTTGCAACAGCGATTCAAGGAGGATGACAATTTGTTTGGTGATCTTGTGAGCATTGCAAAGTCAAAGACGAATAGACCTGCTAAGTGATTGAAGACATTTAGCGACTGTGAATTTGGATTTCTTTTAATTTTAACTAATTCTTTCCATTTCCATTAAAAGAGAAGCATAATACTAAGTTTAGTGTGGAAGAGATGAGGATGCTCAGGTGGATGAGTGGCTTTACCCTTAGAGATAGGATACGAAATGAGCATATACGTGAAAAGGTTGGAGTAGCTCCAGTAGAAGATAAGATTAGAGAGAGTCGCCTTAGATGGTTTGGTCACATAAAACGACGGCCTTCCAATGACCCGATTAGGAGAGTAGAGATATTAGATTTGACTTATGTTAAGAAAGGTAGAGGCAGGCCAAAAAAGACTTGGTTAGAAAATATTAGAAATGACCTTTCTTTATAAGATTTAAACGAGAATTTGACCTTTAATATGACACAATGGAGAAAAATGATTCATGTAGCCGACCCCATGTAGTGGGACAAAGGCTTGATGCTGTTGTTGTTGTTGTAGTGATGAGAATGTTGAAGTGGATAAGTGGTTGCACTCTTAGAGACAGAATGCAAAACAAGTATATACGTGAAAAAGTTGGATTAGCTACATTGACTGATAAGATTAGAGAGAGTCATCTTAGATGGTTTGGTCACATAAAACGTTGGCCTTCCGATGACCCAGTTTGGAGAGTACATGTATTAAATTTAGCTTATGTTAAGAAAGATAGTGGCAGACCTAAAAAAGACTTGTTTATAAAATATTCGGAATAATATTTTTTATTAATTTTAAATGAGAATTTAACTTTTAACACGACACAATGGAGAAAAATGATTCATGTAGCCAACCCCACACAGTAGGATAAAAGATTGATGTTATTGTTATTATTTTCTTATAAATGTTTTAATTAAGATGTGCTGAAAAGTATTCTTCACATATCCCTTCTTCTTACCGTTGACATTGGAGCACTGGGAATTAAAAAAAAAAAAGAAGACAACAAGAAATCCGTCTCAAAGGAAGCCCGTTTGGGACAACTTTCTTACTACTTTTTAAAACAACTTTCTAGTATAAAAATTATTAGTTCATAATTTTTTTGTATTAAAGTTGCTTTAGAAAGCAGTAAGAAAGTTGTCCCAAACAAAGCCTAAATGGTCAAAAAAGCATTTAGATGGTTTTACCAAGGTCATAGTGGATCTTAACGGATAGGAAGTGGATGCACTTTTCCTCGATATCAGCGAATGACGATAACAAATTAGGAAGAAAAATACATCAAAATTATTTTTATTACAAGATATGTGAAAGAAAATAGCAAGATACGGTTGGATCTTCAATTCGAGAGGAAGATCCGGCTCTCCCAACTCCCTAGCTTCCGACTAGAGCCCAAATAACCTAAGAAATTCTAATTTCAGCAAACACAAAACATAATCCTGAAATCATCCTATTATTAGTCATAAATAGGCTCCCATAATTCCCTCTCAAATCAGCCCCCTTTTCCTAAATAATTCTCTCTCAAATTTAAATTCAAATTAGATTTATTTCCCTAATTAATTCCCTCCTAATTATAATTAAAAATGTCCTAAATAATCCCCCTTAATTCCTCCTCCTCTTCCCTAATTAATTTCCTCTTAGATTTTGAATTCAAATTAGATCTCTTGCCTTAAATAATTCCTTTCAAATTATAATTAAAAAATTCCTAAACAATTTCCCTTTGATTAAGAGTCTTCCTAAATAGTTCCCTCTCAATTAAGAAACTTTCTAATTCTCTCCCAATCAAATCAGCCGGTCTATCAATAACATGCCCACAAAAGTCAAAAAAGACTTGAGATCTTACAAAATCTTCTTCAGTTCACACCTGCTTACAGAAGTTCATATTTTTCATCAACTCAACAGTTTGACCCGCTTAAATGCTTAATAGCTTAACCACACAATAACAATTGCAAGAAAGTTACCAATAATTTAGAGAACTGAAGCAAAATTAATTGATGATGTAGTCTTGATTGTAACAATAAAAACTCTTTGATATCAAATTGTTACGAGCCCGAATAGCAAACATTCATTTTCCTGTAAAGACATACTCAACAGTTACCTCTTTAGTTTAAATTCATAATCGATACCCTGAAATTTTGATTGGAGAAGCAGATAGAAATATATATATTTCGTGCCTTAAGATTCAATAATGTATTGGTTTGAGGAACCTGTCGAACCAATCGCTTGCTGCCTTCACCATTGATGCTGTCATTTGATGCCCAATTCCACTTTCAGTTATAAACTGCACAACAGTATTATTAACTGCGAATAAGTGAATGGAACAAAAATGCTAGAACTTCATATAAGAATCCACCTGCTTAACAAAGTTACAACAATTTTGAATAAAAACTACTGAAGTTGTACAGATAAATAGCCGTTAGGAAATTAAAATGATAAGCATGATAGAAAAGCTACAATTTAGAAATGATCAGGAAATCAAATGAGAGAGAAAAAAGTACCTAGTTGTGTTAATAAATTGAAGATGGTCCATCATACCTTGAAGTTCTCAGGGCAGCCGGCCTTCTTGTAAGCCTCTTCTGCTCTAGATATCGGAATATGCAAACCAGCCAGAGGACAGCGAGGATCTTCACCACCTGGTTTTAAAAGAAATAACATTTGTGAAAGGCAGAGATAGAAGGCTTCTTCTCCATGTAGTTATTCAAGTCAAATAATATACTTGATGGCCAAATAGAAGGGGAGACAGTTAAAATAGTTTGTTTATGGAATCCATGTATTTACATGTATAGTTCATCGCACGTGTGGCTTTCAGTTTAGTCCTACATTGAATAATAAAGATATATTGATGTAGAAATATCTGGCCCTTTTCCAAGGACCCTAAGTCTTTGAGTTGAAAATTAGTTTGACAACTGGCCTATATACTCCCAACTAATAGTTGGATCTATGTTTATTTCTGGATACTGTTCAACTTTTCTCAACTTAAGAGGATCATGACTATCATCCTCCTATGTTTATTTTTGCATCTGTCATTTCACATAATCTTTAAACTCAAGATCACAATGATAATTGTGATTTGAAGGAATATGTGGACTAAATTTCATCAACTTTTATAATAATTTATGCATTTATTGAGTATATGAAAAAAAGATTATTAGAAATCATATGGAAGCACTATTAAAAGTCAATTTTTGTCTATGTATTTCACAAAACAAAATTGCTGATATTTGATCTAGATTTAAGTGTTTAAGTTTAGAAATTTATTATTTTACCCCTCTAATTATTTTTCTATAAGTAGGCGTGACTTATATGTGTTTGATGGGAAAAATTGAATAAAACTTTAGATTAGTTTTTCTCCAAAACCCCACTCTCCCTTCTCTCCCTCTCCCTCTCATCCAATAAATATCAAGAAAAATTCCTTCATCCCCAAGAAATCTCAACAAACTGGTATCAGAGCTAGGTAGAGGTGGAGGAAGAGGAAGGTGTTCTTGTAGTCAAGAAAGAGAGATGAGGCAATCGAAAAGGTCTCAGGCAGAGACCGACGGGAGTTGGTAGTGCCACAATAAAGAAGATCGGCACGAGCGAACACGCGTTGGCTTGGCGGACGCACGGGCAGGCATTGCGTGTGAATGCTACCTAGATCGGGTCGGATCGGTCAGGGTGGCAGGCTGGTGGTAGGAAGCGTGCGGGCTCGTGAGGGCCGCGCGGGTGGCGGCACGCGAGGCCGTGGGATCAGGGGCGGGCAAAAGCTCGCAAGAACGCGAACCAGTAGGGTGGAGGTTTGAGTCACACGTGGACGGCGGAGTCAGGTTGGAGGCCTGTGTAGCGCAGGGTCGAGTCGCTCAAGCAGGGAGCGTCAAGGTGCACAGGCAAGGTCGCGGATGGCACAGGTTCCATGAGTGCAAACAAGTAGAAGGCAGGCGGATGGAGTCGGGTCGCGGGAGGCTACATATGTGGGCGCATAGGCACGTGGGTCAAGAGATGAGGCTGGAGTTGGACCATGAGGCTGGGCTAGGTGCAGTTCATGGGGGATCTGGCGTGGTCGGGGCTGCAGGGATTTCGGACGGGTTTTCGATGCGAGCTTTGTAGGGTCGTGCAGGTGTTGTTCACATGGGAGATCATGAGGGCGGGGTGGAATAATCAAGGGTTTGGAGTGGTAGAGAGAAAGAAGACAAGAGTTGATTGGTGGAAAGGAGATCTGGGATGTTGGTCAAAGCACAAACGGGTTTGTGGTGAAAAGGGGCAAAACCAAATCAGGTTGGATGCTGAAAGTCCAAATCACAAGAGGCGTGTATGGCACAGGTACGCATTGCGTAGGTGTGGACACTGTACAGGGCACACGAACCGCTCTGCGGGCTTCGAGGTCGTGATCGTAAGCAGGTGGAGCCTCAGGTTGAAACAGCGTGTTAGACAGGCATATTGGAGGCCAAGGATGCCTAGGTGCAAGTAGGCGGGCCATTTCTTGGATGTAGTTCTTGATGGAAGCAGCTCTAGGTCCATACCGGGAATCAACGAGATCTCTTGTTCAATTTTTTTCTATTTAGACATTATAAATCTAGGTCAATGTGGAGATTGTTAATATTTGATCTAGATTTAAGTGTTCAAGTTTAGATTTTAATATTTTGCCCCTCTAATTATTTTACTATAAGTAGGGGTAACTTGTATGTGTTTGATGTGGAGAATTGAATAAAGCTTTAGATTAATTTTCCTCCAAAACCACTCTCTCCCTTCTCTTTGTCACGACCTAGCCCAGAAGCTTGAATTAATCAGACAGGAACAGACGGTCGGACTGTAGATTAAATTTTTATTTATTAAAACTATATCTAATACATTGAAAGAGACTAAAATAAAATAAAAAATTAATGTAAAAAGAATTAGATAAAATCATGCATACTCACCTTGATTCGTATTGCTTGTTTTTATTGTCCTTGCTCTGACTTCAATATAGTACCTATAATAATATATAATTTCATAAGGTTATTTTAACTTATATCATATTTCTCTCTAATTAGTTATATATGAATTTTAATTTAATCATCATTAATTTATAATATTGACATATTTAATAATTTCTCATTTTAACTTAAAATAATCTCTTTAAAATTAATAATTTAATTAAATGAAATATCTCATATGCTCACTCTTTAATCTCGGCTTGGGGTCGGCACAGACAGAGAAGAGGTTTGGGAGTTGGTCGGAGCAATGTAATTACAGAGGAGCCGAACCAATCAACATTAACCAAACCCTATCACCACAGCTGCATTCGGCCTCGATCCGGCCGTGCTCGCCGTGAATCCGTCGCTCGTGCACACGATCGTGAACTCGCTGCCGCAGTAATTTGAGCACTTGCGAGATCATTGGATGCATTATACGACAGGGGTTTCCGATGCCCGAGCTGAGAACGAGCGGATGATCGACGAACTCTGGATTGCCGTATGATTGATGCTTTATGATTAGCCAAACCTGGCTGAAAGGGCGGATTCTTCGCTTGCTCATTGTATATGTAACGGCTCCCCAATCTCAAAACCATTTGGAGGTTAAAGATTTCCCTTTCATCTCTCTCTCCGTGAAGATGAAAATTTTATATAATATAATGTCGTAGCTTCCGATCTAATGTCGTAGCTTCCGATCCCTTAGGAAGGGAATGTCGTCGGAAGAGCAGAGTCGAGCAACCAAGAGGGAGCCGGATGAAGAAGCACGAAAGGGAGAAAGTTCTTTCACAGCCGGCGAGCTCCAGTTATTGGTCCCGATCAAGCTATCGTAACTTCCGATCCCACAAGAAAGGAAAGTCGTCGATCGAGCGAGAGAGAGCGAGCGAGAAAGATCGGGAGAGGAAGGGAGGCCGAACGCTCTCGCCTCCTTTTAACGACGTGCGGAGACACGACACCAGTCGTGAGCTGGATGCCGCCGCCGGAGGGAACTACAGTGAAGGTGGTTGTTGAGAGCGACGGGATGGGACGGCATGAATAACGGAGTGGTAGATAAGTAAATATTAATGTTTAGGTGTTAGATATGTATTTTCAATAGTTTTAGATATTATGTATGTAAAAATCCCTGCATTTAATCCTAACCCATTTGAAAGCCTTTTCATTTTGAAATCTTAATTATATTCTCATGACTCAGAAACAATGCTTAAGAAATTTTTTGGATGTGCTTAATTGGTAATCAATGATTTTAAAAAGTCATGAAATTATGCATGGCACTAGTTTTAATAATATTAAGGAGCAGAGATGGTTTCGATCCTGCATCTAAAGATCATAGAATCACTAATTTATTGAGTGGACTAACCATTCCTTTATATTTCTACTTTTAACTCCACCATCTTATACCGTATTCAAATCCAAGTTCTTTTTTTATTCTTTTTGGAAACATGTAAAAATGCTTAAAGATTAAGTTTTATCAAATTTTATAATAATTTAACTAATCATCAAGCATATGAAGAAATAAGAATGATCAAAAGACATATATAAGCTCATTTAATTGTGGAGTATTATTGTGACGTTAAATGGGTTTTATATAGATCAATCTAATTAACTTAGAACATTTTATCTCCCCATCTATTTTGAATTAGAATAATGTAAATACCGTGTATAATAAGCTGAGGACGTGGAGCGATAGCAGGAATTGTATCGGGGGAATCAAATTGTGAAGCTAGGCCTGGAGCAATTCTGTCCCACACCTGATAATAACAAAGAATAGCAGATACTCATGAACAAACAGTAATGCCATCAAGATATGCTTTGACATTGATCATATTTTAATGCGCAAAATAAACAGGAGATTATGATTATAAAGTCTAACCTTTTCTACCACCTCTTTATCAATAACACTCTTGCCTAAATCAATCCTTGCTTCTGCATGAGGAAATAGGGAAAATTTTACTCCTCGAATAAAACCAGAGTGAAGAACACCAGGCAACAATAAAAATAACATAAACTACAAATGCCAATAATGCTATTAAAATCACATAGAACTGACTGGCGACATTGATTGGTGAAAGGTGTGCAACTTTATCTTAAAAATGCTAAAAAATCCCAAAAAATTAAAAATCACATAGACTTAGAATGAAATGCAGCGAAGACTCGTGATAATGAAAAATAGCTACTTTCATTTATGCAATCAAAGGTAATATGATTAGTTGATTACTATGTTCAAGCATAGTAAAGTTTCCTAATATGTAAGTTCCGAATCAAGCCAACCACTAGTATGGCAGCAGGCAAACATGCAATATATACTTTGTAATGCAACCTTCAAAGACAGGTTTGATGCTATCAACCCGAGCTTGCCATTTATCATTGTCCATAGCCCATTGAAATCCCTAGAAGGATACAATTGAGTAGATGTGAATAAGCTTGTGACCAACACATAATCAACACTTAGCTTCATTTGGGACGACTTTCTTTCTGCTTCTTAAAATAGTTTTCTAGTAAAAATTTTGTACTAGAAAGCTGCTTTAAGAAGTAAAAAAAAAAAGCCATCCCAAACGAAACCTTAAACGAGCAGAAGCAGCAAATTTTGATCAGCAAACCTGAACACCAATTATAGGGACAACAACAGAATAGCGATGGTCAGCTGCAGCAGCAAACCAAGCATGCATACCTAAATTAATCAAGTTTAATACAAGTTTCAAAATCAGATTCCAACCCATTTAAACTTTATATATTCCAAGAAAGATCCACCAAACCTCCAAGGGATTCTCCAGTAATTCCAATCCTACAAGGATCAACATCCTCTCGTTGCACAAGGTAATCTGCCAACTTTATCAAGTCCCATACCTGCCAGAACCAAAGTATTGCACAGGTTGGAAAGCCATTGATTTAAATGAACTCCAAAGCACTAAAAAAGTAAAAGGGTATGTGATTACTGTATCAAATATGAAAGGCATAGTGTCTCCATTTTTCCAGGATGAAATTAGAGCCTGTTACAGAGCTGACATTTAAGGTAAGCTTATAATGAAACAATCAAATGAAAAAAAAAAACAAAATGCATTATACAGATTTATCAGTTAAAAATAAACTTTTTGATTACTAGATCCAATGTTCTATATGTTCTAGAGGAAAAAAGTAATGCAAACTGTTTAGTTACTTCTTGATATGTTGTTGTGCTGCTTGCTCTCTCACCATGGTAGCGGGAATCAATGGCAACAGCAATATATCCCCGCGAAGCATATGCCTGTGTATACAAAATCTCTCAAGTAACCTATCACAATTTTCCGAGTAACTAAATAGCCTACAGATGCAAAGCCAGAGCTACCTCAAGCAAAGGGCGCAACCATTCTTTACATTTGTAGGAGCTATGTATAAACACAATAGCTGGTCTCTTTTTCTGATCACTTTTGTTCATGCTCAAGATCAAGACTGGTAATCGGCCTTGCTCACCTTCCTTTAGAAAAACACCACCCCACAAATTACTGCAAGGAAGCTTATCATTTGTATTTCTATGCAATATAATCTCATAGCTATGGAATCCACCTAATTCCACCTAATCCCACAACATTTGATCACTACATGAAAAACGGAATACTCCTTGCTGAGGGCCTATGTGTTGGCTTTAAGTTAGGAAGAAGTTCTGAAAAACAATGAATTTTCTAGAGATCTAATTAGAAATAAATATATATTTTAAAGCCTGGGCCTAAAATGTGATGTTTTCATTTACACAAACAAACTGACTGAAAGCGAAACCATCGCCTTCTAAAACATACTTTTATATCTTCAAGAAACCAAATGATATCTAAGAAACAATCTATGTATAGGACTAGAAATACCATGTATAGAGTCAAATAATTATAGCAGAAGCAAGGAACTGTGGACTGATGCCATTGATGCTTGATAGCCATAATAACATGCATTATCAAAATAAGCATTCATAAATTTATGCATAGGCAGATCTATAGAGGAGGCGCTGGGGTTCAATGCCCCAATTGGCTAAGCCCAATATCATTAATGTTGGGAAGTAAACCACGCAACAAAATAAACAAGAAAAGAAAACATCAGTGTTTAACGTGAAAAACCCCGAAATTGGGAAAAAAGAACATAGCCATACCATACCAATAATTCCTCTATGAAAAATTGGGAGAAATTGTATAGATCTCTTCTCTCATACTCTCTCTATCTCTCTTCATTCTACACTCAGAACACATAAGGATATACTTTTCAACACACCAAAGGATGCAACCCTTCAAGTGAAATAAGAAAAAAGAGTGAAAAATAACTACTCAACCCAACTTTGAGGTTTGGTGCATCGTAGCGCTCCACTCTCTATCTCTGAGTCCATTTTGTAGCGTCATCGTGCTACAACGCCAGGATTTGTAGTTTCTTAACACTTCAATATCTGTCTACATCCCAAGCCTGGAGCATTGCGGCGCAGTGCGGCGCTTGTATTGATTTTTTTTTTTTTTTTTTTTTTTTTTTTTTTTTGAAGGGTTAGGGGGAGTGCTACCTCTTGCAAACCCCAGCAAACTCGATCGACAAAATGGAGGTTTGAGTCAACAGTACAAAATGATTGATCTACATAATCAGATTCCACATAAAACTAACAATTTTTTTTTTCTCTGTGCCATTCTATTTTTTAAAAGGTATTTTAAAAATTGATGATTCCATTATTAATTATTTTATGCATAAAAATGATATTATAATAGGTTTATGATATCAAATATCACAATTGATGATTCCATTATCACTTTAAATAAGTTTCCATCACATAAATTTATCTTTTTATATTAAAATTTTTAACAGGAAATTTTTTCCAAGCTTATGTATCTTTAGAATGGTCAATTTAAGCCCCCACCGCAGAGTCTATGCCATATGCAAACAAAACAAGGTGGAGCTTAAAACAACATTGAACAGTGAATAATGATCCATTTAAGATCAAAGGAAAATATTGAAAATTGTCCACTTATTTCCAGTAAGAAAAACACAAGAAACCATTACATGTCATCTTTAAAATTTCCAACTAAATTAGAGAACATTTCTCTAGCTAATAAACTTACATTAGAATCAACAATCAGTCAGTAATCTACAGCTACGCCTCTCAATCACCAGTCTAATAAATTAGTCAAACTTAAAGAAACTAGAATAATCCAACATTGAATATCGAACAAAAACTCACCTCAGTTATCAAATATATGTTTTCTTCAAGAAAAACATCCTTGAGGCCCTCAATGTCTTCCTTAGGACAAGATTCCATAACCTATTAAAATCACCCCAGCACCCAAAACAATATAAAAGCAATCAAAGAGTTCATATTTTCCCAATATTTAGGTTACAGGCACTTACCTCCCTGGAACCAAGACGAGTATTCCCCTGATACATGGGATTCTTCACCGGCTTCCCGATCTCGACGGCGACCGGAACTACAAAAAATCAACAAAAAGATTAATAAATCCATGAAAAATAAACAATATAAAATCGCTTAAAATGTGCAAAACAGAGCTCATGCCGTCTGGAGGTGGCCGACGGCGGCTGAGGAGGACTTGAAGGAAGTCCGAGCGGAGCTTCAAGGGGTCGACTTCTTCCATTCTCCGGCGATGGCGACGACCACTTCGGCTTTCACCGACAGCTCGACCTTGCTCGTATTTAAAGCCAGCGACACGGAGGAGGTGTGGGGCCCGAGTGCAGCGGAGATCCATTTTGCTGCGAAGGCTCGGGCGAGAGTGTAAATATGGGAAAATAAAAATTTATTTATTTATTTATTATTATCTGAACGAAGGCGCGGGGCCAAAGTGCCAAACGAATACGGTGGAGTTACCGTTAATTGGATCCGGGAGAGATCCGTATCCGTCCGTCTTTTAATTGGATGCTTCGGTTGTCCAGAGTAACTTTTGGCGTTCTATAGTTTTATTTTATTTTATTTTATTGAATTAAATATTTGAATTTTTTTGTGTAATTTCAGAAATGACAATTAATTGCACATGTAGTCTGGAGTTTGTGCTCATACTTATCTTATGGGAATTCTTATTTGTAGATTAGGGAAAATTATTACGTCCGGATAAAAAATCAGAAATTCGGACGTATACCGAGCAATACTAAGTGCTCGGTACCGAGCTTCAGGTGACGTGGCGCATGGTTATTGATCTCAGGACGCCTTCAGTGTCCGGACGTAATAATTACTCGTAGATTAGGGCTTCATTTTGATGGCTTGATGGCTTTCATATTACTTTTTAAAATAAATTTTTAATACAAAATTTTAATTTTACATTAGAAGGCAACTTATGAAATAGATTTTTAGCATAAAATTCTTTAACAAAAATGTGCGTAAGGTGTTCATAAATTAATCAAAAAGTTATCTTAAATGAAGCCCAAATTTGTGTGAGAGGTTCACAACCCAAGTAAAAATAAGTTTTATTTTATGAAGGATCATGTTAATCACAAAAATTAACAAGAGAAACACACTTATTAAAAAATATAGAAAGAAACCAATTAACAAAAAATAATTGACGCATTCAGAATACGCCAAATGGTTTGACACATACTGAATGTACCAAATATTTTCAAGTGTTTAGCTTAAGAGAGAGAAAAAGGTGGCAGAGTAGAGGGAGAGAGAAAGAGCTTGAGAGAGAGAGAGAGAGAGAAAAGAGGGAGAGATAGAGGGGGAAAATAAAGATTAAAAATTTTCATACAAAAACAAATAAAATTGTTTAAGTATTTTATATATTATTTTAAATATTTTAAATATGAAAAGTAAATAATTTTTATACTAAAATAATATTTTATGAAGCAGTAAGAAAGTTGTCCCAAATAAAATTTTAGTGTATTTTTAATAACTTTTTTATCTATATTTTGAATAAGATGCTTGCAAATTAGGACTATTTTACAATAAATTTTAATATCAACAATAACTAATCATATTGGTAACATATAGTTTTATCCAACAATAGTTAGTAAACTTCATTACATGAAGACGGATAATACCATTAACCATGAGATCATTTCTCTTGGTACAAGAAAGAATAGAATAATGAATTACAAGTAAATTTGAACAAAGGGTAGAACAGAATAATAATACTTATGTTGATCTTCTCCCAAAGAAAGCCCTAGATGTTGCCATTTACATCACATTAATGAAGGAGATTTCACCAAGCCTTAGTTCATAAGCATCAACCTCGCCATCAATAAGGACAATGAAATATGCATCACAATGAATATTTTCAATGAGCATCCTCATCTCTGCCACACTTAACTTAGTATTATGCTTCTTTTTTAATGGCCAACATTCGGCACCATAAAGCATATACGTGAAAAGGTTGGAGTAGCTCCAGTAGAAGATAAGATTAGAGAGAGTCGCCTTAGATGGTTTGGTCACATAAAACGGCGGCCTTCCGATGACCCGACTAGGAGAGTAGAGGTATTAGATTTGACTTATGTTAAGAAAGGTAGGGGTAGACCTAAAAAGACTTGGTTAGAAAATATTAGGAATGACCTTTCTTTATTAGATTTAAACGAGAGTTTGACTTTTAATAGGACAAAATGGAGAAAAAGGATTCATATAGCTGACCCCACGTAGTGGGATAAAAGGCTTGATGTTGTTGTTGTTGTTGTAATGAATATTTTCATGAAGATAATTATAATAGCAACTTCCAAAGGATTAAGGTAAATAATTTTACATTTGATGACATACATGATCCCAATGCATTTTGAATTGGTTTTTTTGTTTACAAATTTTCTATGAAATGCATGAAATGTCATATCATAAATGGATTCATTTTGCGAAGTTGATGATAATTGGATTGACCAAATGATTCTAGTGATATGTTTAAAGTGAAATTAATTGCTTAGGTGAATCCATAAGTATTGCTTAGGTTGAAATGATGTACCACATAAGTGAAAAATATGTACATGTCTATATCATAACTTAGCACTTTGATTATTTCAAAATTTTGGTCATGTGATGCAATTCATCAGAGTAACCTATAGTTGTGATTACTAAATACATAAATGGTTGCAACTAGAATCAAGAGTAAAGTGAACATTTCTTATCTCAAAACTTTAGAAGAAGCTCATTAACCAAGCTTTAGTGATTCTTATAGTTGTGATGATTACATACATCAATTATTTGCAAGTAGAATTAAGAGGAAAGTGAACCTTTAAAATCTTAAAACTTTAGAAGAAGCTCTTTGTTGAGCTTTAGTGATTGAAAGATATCAACATCATAATATTGGATTAATCCACTTGACACTCTTGCATGGACTCAATCCAAATCAATCCTTAGGCCTCCCCATCCACCTAGTAGTTTAGAAAAAATATTAGCAACCAAAAGTACTTCAAGTAATAATACATGCTTCCAATGCAATAAAAGGGTCATTTTGCAAACTATTGTCTACAACATGGCTAATCATTGAACATCACCCCTAAAAAATATTGATCTAGATGATGAGCTATGTTGAGATGTAGTGGAAAATGATCTAATAAAACTACACATGCTCTGCGCGCTCTCAATCACAGCACCAGGCCTCTCCGATCGAACACTTGCACGCATGTGATCCACAACCACATGTCCTGATTCTTTTACGAGTTGTGCTTTCACAATGTCGACCCTTTCAAGCACGCCACCCCTATCTATACCCCCTTCCTCCCACACTCGTGATACCAACCGCGTGTTCGAACTCTGGCATAGGCTCCGACTTAGAGCCCTGCACAGTATTTCATTTTCTTCCAACAAGATCTGATATCACTTGTTAATAATTCTTGAATGAGGAAAAGGATTCTTGGATGAGAGAGAGAATGACAGGGAAAAGGGAGGAGAGGGAGAGATGGATAACATGAATTCCCTTTATTTAATCATCTTGAAGCTTACAAGGGGTTACCCTTACAATGCTTATATATAGGCATTTACATTTGGTGAGATGTCATGAGGATCAACCTAATCTAAAACTGAACCAATATATAAGAATCTCCACCTAGGTCCAATTTTATGATCAAAGAATCACTTGTGCACTTGTTGCGATATGACCGGCTCTCTACACTAACTCCACGAGCAAATATGTTGAGTCAAGCCCAATCTCGTTCACGTTCAACTAGCTTAGTATATTCCAATCTGCAGCTCTAGCTCACGCTCCCGCATGTTCTAAACCACACGTGCATGCGTCCCTCATTGTTCCTCCTGTGATATGCATACTCGTGCCTTATGTAGCTTCAGCTCATGTTCATCATATCCGTGCTTAAGCATCATGCACACTTCAGTTTGCCCTTTTCCAACCTGCGGCTTTGCATGAGCTGCCCATTTAATCTCGAGTTCGCGACCAACCTGTCGCCCTGAGGCTCTTGGTAATGCATCATTTTATCCACTACTTCAACACACCAAATTTGATTGACATTGGCCACCAATATGTCTGAATTCTGACATGGAGACTCCACCTCAAAAGATCTATTTTTTTTAAATCAAGAATAGGATTCATGCCTCCAACGGCCGCTATCATGGCATCCGCTCGTGCCACCCCACCAGGCTGCTCCAAATGGCCTCCCTGCTCCCGCTCCTTTATCTAGAGTGAAATCACATGCGACACTTGCTCAAAATATAGGCATTTACATTTGGTCAGATATCTTGCGGATCAACAAAATCTAAAACCTGACACATACACGACAGTTTTCAAAGGCACCTGAAATACCTTTGGAGCATACAATGATAGTATTCTCATCCAAGAAGGTCATTTTATGACTTATTTCAATGAAAAACAATTTGATGCATGACAGACACTATTCCACTTTCGATAGAGTTATTATATTCTATTCAAATTTTTGCATCATTAGTTTCACTGGACAAAAATTTTACTTTTTTTTTTAACCAGCAAGCTTACAATTTATCCAATCACAAAAGAAGTTTAGTTTTCATTATTCAAATTATATTGAGTTTTTACAAGAACATTCATTTGTCTTCTCACATGTAATTATTTAATTATTGTTAAAAACAATGCATATTACTTTTCCTAGTTTCAAGCGATTAAAAGTGGCTATCTTTTCATGCACTGACTTTCACACAATTTTTTCATGAGTTTCTTACAAGAAAATTGTCTATTGGTGGAGTAGATTCAAATGTTCGCCATGATAAGACTATCAATATCTTAGAGATGTCGATTTTATGTGCCCTCTGTCAAGCACAGTGTTGCTAGAGTTGTTGACCATTATAGAACCCTTTTATTGAGCAAAATTGTAAGTATAGTACTGAATTGTATGCTCCTTTTGATTGTTATTAAAGAGCCTTGGTATATGATATAAGTTTTAACTTTGCATTATGACTACTTAGGAATGCACATGATTATGATTCTATCTTTATGATAGTCGATACATTCTCAAAGATGACCTATTTTATTTCTTGTTTCAAATCTACGTACCGGTGCTTCATATGCCTCTAAATTGATCTTCGGGAATGCAATTTATTTTCGTGGACTCTCGCTCTCTCTCTCTCTTCTAATCATGATGTTGAATTTCTCAACTATTTTGGAAGACAATGCAAAACTTTATGGAAACTAACTTGAGTTTACATCACCCTTTCAACCTCAAATTGAATGGTAAACTGAAATGATGAATAGAAACTTGAGCAATTCTTTTACATGTATTCTTGGATTTGGCTTGGTTGTGGCTCTTTAGTTAATGTATGTAACCATGTAAGGATTCAATGCAATTATAAACCTCTAACTTTTAATCAAGGAAA